CCTTCATCACCTGTGAAACTGAGCAAGCTGCTCAAGTTGAAGCAAGCCACTGAAGTTGAAGTCTTTGTCTGCAGGTTTCCTAATGTTATGAAAGCAAATGGAACAGAAAACAAAGTGTGATAGTGGAGTAGTTTGAGGATTGCGTATAGGGCTCATATAGCCTGATACACAGGAGAGCTCGGCTTCCGTGGCCCACAAGTTTGAGCCTGGCCATCCTTCCTGCTTCCTCCACCCTTGGCTTCTGCTTTCCCAAACGTACAGCACAGAGCAGGGGGTAGCTGCTGAGCGAATGGCATCACTAGTAATGCTGCGACTGATCTTTGCACTCGTTCTCCTGAGGCTGCAGTGTCAATTTGGGCAAAGCTTCTGCTGCTAGATATCAGCAAGGTGAGGGAGGTTGTGCAAGGATGTCAGGCTATATAGTCATCCGAAATCAGGGGTGGTGACCCCCCCTTGATATCTTCCATGTGGGAGTGTACTTACAGGGAACACCCTTCTCCTTCCACAACACTTGACTGAAGGCTGCAGTACTTTTAAGGTTGGAACCATCCTACAAGCAAGGATGTGACCTGTTTTAATTTCCACCTCTGTGACCCTGCAGATGGGCAAGGGCTGAGTGACAAAATACTTTGTTGCTGTTAAATCTGTTATGCTAGGCATGATGAGGTGGGTGTCGAGGAAACCAGCAGTCATGCTGGGCACACAGGCATTTGAGTGAGTATTGACACTTTTGGGTAATTTCTTGGGTTATGCTAGGATGGTATTTTTGATTGAGTGGGAAGCTATCTGTAGCAAACACTTTGCAGGCAGTTGCTCACAGGGCTTGTTTGGTGGAGTTATATATAGATTTTCCTCTCTGTGGGTCCTGTTAGTGGAACAGTAGGTTGCACAATGGGCTCTTCAGAGAGCTGTTTGTCTAGAGATTTATTGCTTCTCTGAGATCAGAGTGTCAGGGTATTATATACTTTCCAAGGGAGTGCTGAATAATCCCCATTCTGTGTGCACTAGGGCAGATACCCAGTGAATAACTTGCTTCTGTCCCTCCCAGTAAGGAGAGAAACAAAAGTCTCGGATCCTGTAAGCAGAATGAGAACACCCACAAATAAAAATATTCTCTTTAATGCTGTACTGTATATAATAGGGCCCGAAAGTTGCCCAGTCATTCACAAAGCTGTTTTTTACCAAGTAGGGAGGCTGCTTCAAGAGTCCTTTTTTTCTGTCTGGAGAGATTTTTAAACCCATCTGCCTTGCTGTGATGCTGCTTTTTTCACCAACTGTGGTAGGCTGGGGCTCCTACAGCTCGTTAAATAGCCTGAGAGGTTCTTTAATGAAAATTAATTGAGTGTCACTAATTCAAATGTCTCTTGAGGTAAGCAACTAGATTTTTTTTTTCCTGCTTAATTTCTGATTCTATATAATCTATTATTTCTTTGAAAAGCTCACACAAATTAAATCTTGAGGCAATAGCCATATACTTTTAATTATTTGAAGTTTAATCTTAAAGGAGTTCACACCATTTTCTGCATCATGCTGGGGAAATGGAGGAAGAAAAAATATCTTTTTAATGCAAAATATTTCTTACTTGCTAAATTCTCAGGCAAATTATGAGCAGTCAATTTAATTCCTAGAAAGGAGATATCTTTGATAAAGTATGAAATGAAGAATGATGCAACAAATGCAGATAACATTAACTTGTTTCCTGTCTCACTGATAGATATCTGTGAGAGACATGGAGGTGTTAAGCGCACTTAGTGTTATTTTTTCTGTTATGTAGAAGTATGATTTTTCTGTCTTTTCCATTTATCTTTCAATTGTTCATTTTTAATGAGATAGAACTTATTTTTCCTTCAAAATATGTCTGTACTACATCTAGCTGTACTTCAGGCTGGGCCTGGAGGGTAGTAATCAGGGGCACAAAGCCCAGTAGGTGGCCAGTGGCTAGTGGTGTACCCCAGGGTTCAGTACTGGTTTCAGTCCTGTACCCCTGGAGACATATTCATTAACAGTCTGGATCATGGGGTATTCTTGGGGGAATCTCACCAATGTCTATAAACACCTGAAAGGAGGGCACAGAGAGGATGGAGCCAGGCACTTAGGCACTTTTCAGTCGTGCCCACTCAAGAGGCAACGAGCACAAACTGGAACACAGGAAGTTTTATCTGAACAACAGAAAACTTTTTTTTTTTTTTTACTGTGTGAGTGACTGAGGACTGTCACAGGTTGCCCAGAGAAGCTGTGGTCCTGAACAGGTGGCTCAAGGTGGCCCAGCTTGAGCAGGGATTGGACCAGATGGACCCAGAGATCCCTGCCAGCCTCAGCCCTGAACAGGCCAGAAAGTTTTTGTAGTGGTCTGTCAGTACAGAAGTCTCTCTTTCTGTCTTTTCTTTTACAGGCCCCTTCTTATCGTTCCTCTTTCTTCATTAGATGTATTTTCCCACTTGTGGTGGTCTGTCAGGCACTTCTAACTGTTTTTCTTTACTGACGCTGCACAAAAGAAAGTTAACGTGGGGTGTGTGTGTGTTTGTAAAGATGTGAATTTAAAATCTATCCTGTTTAGAAGGAGAATATTGTATGTTTTTATCCAACTAAACAAAAAAAACAAATCACTGAAAAATAATAGGAAATTAAGGTGTGTAATTAACTCACCAGAGATAATAATGTGTTCTGCTGTGTTCTTGTAGAGCAGAGCCACAAATGCAATGACAACTGTGGTTAATCTGTAATCACCTGTGTTTTCCCCAAGATTTTACATACTTGCCTGCCAGGTCAACATTGATTTGATCACTTCTGAAGCTCTCATGTTAACAAATTTACTTGAATCCACATGTAAATAAAAGATGAGATGCTGACTGTGGGTTCCCTAGTTTGGGCATGGCATAAAGTTGCTTCTGAGCATCAGCTAAACAGACCAAGCAGCTTTAGTCAATGTCTGGATGCTACCGTGCTTGAGAGAAAGCTTACCAACACCTTCCATTCACTGTGCACTCCCAGGCTTTGTCATTTAGCACCTCCTTTTCCAGATGTCCTCCACAGGATGGGGCAGAGCCTGTTTCCTGACTGGGTAATGGTTGCGGGAGGGTTCCTTTAACAGTGCCCTTGTACCAAGACATGCTTTTCCAATGGATAACATGTTTATGCTTGTTTGTTCTTCCAACCATGCTGTATTGTTTTTATGGCAGGAGCTTAATCTGCAGCTGGACAATAAAAAAAAAAAATGCAGTCTGAGAAAAGGTATGAAATGAGAGAGGCTAAAATGTGAGCTGCGTATTATTTAGTCAAGTTGGTCCAACACATAATGTGGGTTTAACTTGAGTTACACTGTGGATTAGTTAATTTGATCACACTGTATTAGCTACATGGCTTCAGGAGTTGGTTTAACAGGTGCTACTTGCCTCCTTCCATCTTTCCAGTCCCATTCTTTCACCTGCAGGTCATCCTTGCTCCTCTGTCCCCACACTGGGCCCTGTTCCTTCTTCATTTGAGGAATTCCCTCTATTCCATTGTCTTTCCTTTTATCCTTCCCTTGGGGTTTCCCATTTTCTGTTTTATGTTTCCTTCTCCCACTTATTTCAGGAGCTTTGCAAAAGCCCACTATCCTTTTCCCTCTAAGCGCTTCTTTTACAGCACCAGCATCTTAAACTCTCCTGGACAGAAGAGCAGAAATGAACCAGCAGTATTTTTATGGTGAAGGATGTGAATGGCTGCTGGTGGTTGCATGAGGAATGTACCAGGAGATGCCCACAACTCCCATGCCCAAATGTCCCATGTTGGACCTAGAGAGAGTGCTTGTTCTACTGGACAGGATTAGGAGTTATCTCCTCCTGGGGGAGAAACAGGACTGTTTGCATAGCTGTCCTCACAGCCCTGGAGGATTGGTAGGGATTGAGGAATGGGAGTGGTGAGAGGACAAGTGCAATGCTGGATGGGGCTGTGCATTCTTAGGCTATGTGAGAAAAGCCCAGCCATGGGCAAAATTACACACTGTCTGAGAGTGTTTCTTCCCTCGTGGGTCATCCCAAGGATGCTGCGTGGTTTACTCCACTGGGATGTTGTCTGTCCCCCGGTTCAGCAAAGTCCTGAGATCTGGGCTTTTATAACAGTGGAAAGTTCCAGGGGTCTGTTGTGTATTTCCTGAAAAGCTATCAGGAGGGGTTTCTGGTTGATTTTATGTGCTGGTGCACTCCTGTGTGTTTCTTTCCAACCTTCTCGGCATCTGCAGAGCAACCTGGCCCAAGGGTCAGGAGCCTGAACACAGAGATGCTCTTTTTTTGGTAGTGCTGTTACTCTTCAGAGGCGATGTTTTGGCTGCAGGCTTGTGTCACTTGGCGCCCTGTCCCTTCCCTTTGGGCCTGCCTCTCCCTGAATGCACACATTGCCGTCACCACCACCACGGGGATGGCGGTGAGGAAAGCTGAATTTCACTCGAGGCGCAGCCGAGCCACACACCTGTTTCAGCAGCAGCGACCTCAGTGAGACGGGGCCCTTTTTGTCCTGACTGTGCCTCTGTGACAAGCCAGGGAGAAGCCCTATGGTGTGCGGGACCCTCGCCTGAAAGCAGGATCGGGTAGCCAAGGGCCGTGGGGCCGCTCCCTGTTCCACCGCGGCCGTGCCCGGAGGCGGGCGGCCGTGAGGTAGCGCCGCGGCGCCCTTCCGAGCCCGCTCCTCCTCCGCTCCCCGCCACGTAGGTGGCTGCGGGAGGAGGAGGAGGAGGAGACGGAGGAGGGCTGAGGGGGAGAGGGGCCGGCCCGGGGCCGTGCTACGTGTCGCGGGAGCCCTTATAGCGCGCTGCCGCCGGGCTGGCTCTGCCTGCCCGCCCGCCCGCCACCATGTCGAGCAGCCAGCAGACGGTAGGGCCGCGCTCCGACGGGGCGGAGGACGGGCCAGGGAGGCGGCGGGGCCCCGGCGAGGCCAGGCCAGGCCAGGCGAGGAGGAGGAGGAGGAGGATGAGGAAGAAGGGGGGGGAGGAGGAGGAGGAGGAGGCAGGGCCGCCGTCCCGCTGCGGTGCTTCGGGTGCCGCCCGCCTCCCGAAGCTGCTGAGGCAGCCGCCGGCTTTCGGCGCTGCCAGTTGTCCGGGGACGGGGTGGGGGTGAGAAGAAGAAAAAGAAGGAGAAAAGTTCACAAATTCTGACAGGCAGGGCAGCGCTCAGGCAGCAATGGGAGTCGCGGATCTCTGTCGCGGGCAGCGTCGCTCTCCCCCCGCCGTTTCGGGACGCGAGGTGCCGGTCCCGCTGGCTGCTAGCAGCAGTGCGGGCATCCCGGCCGCGAGCCCGGGGCTTTTTTTTGGTGAATTACCTCTTTCTGCCTTGCTGCAAGGTTTTCAGGTGGTTTAGTGCACTCAGAGCGTGTCCGTACGGGAGTGCAACCCAAGCGGCGCTTCACGAAGCGCGCCCCTGTGGCATCCTGAAAGGCTGTGCTGGAGGGGTTGCGCTGTGGAGGTGCGACGTCTGCGCTCTGCACTGAAGGATTTTTTTCGGTTTTGTGACAGGAGAGAGGTATTGCTGAACTTCCAGAATAATCCCTCTGCACTCCCTCCACCCTGGGTGGAAAAATGACCTTTATAAGCAAGATTGTGGCTGATCTTTGTACCCTGGCTGTCAAAACAGACGCTCGCTGTTGACAGCTGAAAGGGTATTTTCATGTGCCTGTCTGCCAAGCTATGCAGCAGAGTAAGATCTAGCTAATTATAAGAGTTTTCAGTTGTTACAATGATACCACGGTGTTATCCCGTTAGTGATCACGGTCTGTGGCCAGGGCAGCGTGGTGCTGTGCAAAGCAAGGCTGCAGGTCTTGCTCCCCATGCGGACTTGTCATCCCCTTGCTTTCAGCCATCTCCAGTTACTTGGAGGCACAGGACAAGGCACTGCCTTTGATAAGGCTCCTGTCGTCCGCATGAGAGCGAGGGAAAGAGCTGTGCTAGCGTGTGGTTATTTGCGTGTGCATGAGGCATCTTGGACTCAGTCTCGGTGAAATTTACATGGTACGGGGCAGGAAGGTTGAGGCATCTGTGGTTTATCTGAGATTTTGCCTAAAAAAAGAGCAGACATCTGTGGTTTATTAGAGATTTTGCCTAAAAAAAAAAGAGCAGGCAAGAGCATTATGTGCACCTGCAGCTAGTCGCCTAGCTATTGTAGCTCAGAGGAGTTTGAGTGTAGTAGTGAATTTTTCATGACATCTTTTGTAAGCAGGACAGCCAAGACAGGTCCGATTGGAAAAGGAAGGTGAGAAGCAAACACTAATTCACTCTTCCAAGATCCCTTTCAGTACAGCAGCTGGTCCTTTTTCTGCACCTTCCTTAATCCCCTTTTTTTCCTTTCTCCAGCAACCTGAATCCTTTTTCCTAATAAAATCCTAGTTTCTACCACTTCTTTATGGTGTGGGTGATGCAGTAATCTTCCTTCTGCAGGCAATGTTTTGTGAGGCTTTTCAGATGCACTTCTGGAGGAGAATGGATGTTTCCAGCATTATTCACTACCTGAGAATATGTCAAAAATGGATTTTGTAGGTGACACTGATTAGTTGCCCGCTTTCAAAAGGTGCAGTAGTACTAGCTGTTACAAGGTGAGCTAACTGTTATTTGGCTGTACTTCTGATTTTGCACGCTGAGTATTCATAAACCTAAGATTTAAAACCCAGCTTCACCCTGTGTGCTGCCTGGAGTTTGAGGATAGTTTGAAGGTATTTTCACCTAACACTCATTTATTAATGCAAGCTTACGGTAAGGCGCAAAGAAGGAAACTTAAAATTTTTGACCTCAGTGTGTGGTGCCCTTAAAAATCAGCAAGGCCCCCTAATTCAGATTAAGACCTGGGAGTTTATATGTGGGAATCTTTTGTTCTGATTAACACTGAAATGCTCCCTTGGTTTCTGCCTGTGACATTACAAGAGGCATGAAGTCCTCTCTGTGCCTGGCATTCTCCTTCAGCTCAAAGACCTTATTGACTGCAGAAAGTATTTACTTCTGACCACTTTCAGAACTGACTTTTTGGGAGAAGAATGGTCTTTAATGATGACCTTAATGCTCCTTACATAAGCCTCCTGTGTGCCTATATGGTGAAATCTTACTCTCAGGAGTAAGTACACCTTAAAGTAATTGCAGTGAGTAACATGGAGCTGTGGGACTGCCCTTGTTTATTATGAGGGCTGTTGCACAGTGAAGCATTCATGGCTGAGTAGTTCTTTCAGTCCCATCGAAAGAGCAGCTTGTTCTCTGTACACCTGTGGTGCTGCTGGTATTTTTTCCATTTGCTGCCTCTCTGCACCGAGCAGTGTTTTTACAACAACCAGAAGGATACAGACAGTGCAGTGTGCCATGGAGAGGCAGACCAAGCCCGTTGACTTGGCAGTGTCCCTAAGGGACTGTCCCCTTGCTAGGGTGACCAGCTGCACGGCTTGCATCTATGCCCTTGCTCCTGTAACAAAACATGGGTGTGTGGAAGATGCCACTCAGAATACCTCGCAAAACTGAGGTGTTTGTTTAGCTTGAGAGAGACCCAGCTGAACTCATTCCTGCTTGCCCGGGAGGTGGGAGAGCTGGGAGGAAGATGGACACCCTCCTTGCTGACTCTTTGTGGCGAGTTTCTCCTTGGATGTTCTCACAGAACCTTAGGGGAGAATGGACCCTGGTGAAAACTGCCTTCCTAGGGTAAGTGTTGCAGCTTTGTCACCTGTTGGATCCATGACGGTGTCTCCAGCAAGCAGAGCAATGCAGCATGTGGCATCCCTCCGTTTCAGTAGCTTTGGGTAGGTCCCAAAGCTGTAACTTCCCGAGGTTTGGTTTTGCTCGTGCAGGGCTTGCATGTGTGTGATCACAAGTTACAGATCCTTATTTAAAGGTAAATTAACATGTAAAAAGATTTTTATTATTTAAAAAAAAAAAAAGAAAGAAGGAAAAAACACACCATTAGATGACACCACTGAGGAAATATAAAGAAATATGAAGGTTAGTTTCGTTGCCTAGAAACTATTGTCATATTGAAAAACCTGCAGCCACAGGGCAGAGTTCAGATGAAGTGTGATATTGGAAGCCATGCTGTAATGTTTGTACAACCTTATCGTTTTAATTGTGAACGAATGTAAAACAAAAAGTAGGAGGAGTTTATTAAAAAAAAAAAAATCCTAGATTCATCTGTTTGCATGCTTTTTTTTTTTTTTTTTTTTTACTATTGCCTTGAATATAAAGAAAAAGACTGAAACATCTTGAAACATCTTTAAGGATGTTGATGTTCAAAACAGTGCTGGATTGCTCATCACAATGGCACTTGAACAGGCAGTAGGCAGCAAAACGCTGATTTTAGTGAATTGACATGGCTTGGTTTTGGTTGTGTTTGTCAAGACTGTGTTTCTAGTGTTTCACCAGATGATTTGGTTTACAGGTGTGATGTGTCTTCTGAAACACAGTCCCTTACTCATTGCACTGTGATAGTAAACAGTGATTGTTCTCTAATTGCTCATCACATGCTTAGGTTTTCTGATACTCCTTGTATTATTTTCTGTCACTTTCTGCTTTATCTCTTTCTCTCTTTTCTTTGACGATCAAGGAGAGTTCATTAGATGAACTGTCTCAATATGCTCTTTATCAATTTCTGTTGTTTCCAGTAGCTCTTACTGTTTTTCTCCCTCTTTCTTTTGAAGTCTTTTGCTATTAAAAAGTTACCTTTCTGGTCTGTTCCCTTTGCCTTGCTGTTTCATTAACTTGTGCTGTTTTTCAGGGCTGCCAGCATACCAGCTGCTTGTTTATGAACTGCACTCGGTCTTGTGAAAGCAGGGTTGTTCATTTTGGGGAATTTCATGGAGGAAAGGACAGAAAAAGTTGCAGTCTCCTAAGTATGAACAGCTCTTTCTTTCTGTGGTTTGGGGAGGTTGAGTCACCCAGGGGATGGGGAACAAAATAGTCAGTGTGGTCCAGCTCCAGGAGCTGTGTGCCGGGATCTTTAGTTTTGGGAAGGCTTGTCTTGTGTCCCTGATGGTGCCATGGCCACTGGAGCAGTGTTTTTCAGGAGCTCACGGGGACAAGTGGCCAGGGCATGTGTGTTCAGCCATTACATCTGTGGGGCCAGATCTGATCCCTGCTGGCACGCTCTGAAGTCAGTCTTTTGCCTTCCCAGTGGGGCTTCAGGCTCTTTGGGACTTCTGTCCATCTCACAGGGGCTGGGGGTGTTTGGATGAGTGCAGCTGAGCACTGCTTGCTGGTGGGGTTAGCAGAGCTGCAGGTGTGACCTGGGACAGTGGCTAAGCCCCAGGATCAGCACCTAAATCCATCTCCCAGCTGGAAAAGAGATGGTCAAAGCACTGTGAATCAGCACAGTGTTTCGCCTCCTGCTGTGGGACTCCTGCATCAATGGCATCTGGCCTTGTCTGTTCCTCGGGTGGCACGGGTTAAGTCTCGGAGAGGTTGCCTGCTAAAACCTTTATCTTGCACATATGTTTCCATCTGTATGCTTCTTGCGCAGCTCCTGCAAGGGATTTTAGGCAATACAGTGAATGATTTTGAAGACCCCAAACTATCCAGACATGTGCACTGCAGATGCAAGTTAGATTTAGGCCACAATGATTTTGTTTTTCCTGAGGGTTTTCAGAAGTACCGGCATACTTGCATTTATTACTGGGCTGATGTTGATCCTGGAGGGTGTCTTTAAAATAGCCTTTCAAAAAGGAAAGACCTTTTCTATCCGAAATCAGGTATTTTAGATAAACTTGCAGCTGTACATGCCCACAAAAGATAAGGGGTGTTTAGGGCCCATGTTAATACTTCTCTAATGATATGCTCTGCCTTGAACTTGTACTTTGATCACAGTGCTCATGTGCTTTGGTACTTTAAAGTCCTTTAAGAGAAATGGCATGTAATTCAGGTCATTATGTTACTTTACTGTTACTGTGAGTGTGGTGACTAATGATTACTTCAGATTTAGCTCTGAATCACAGCTGTGGGAAGTGAGAAATAGTTCCTTAATTGCCTCACAGCTTAGTCATTTCTAAATGAAAATTTACTCGGAGTGTATCATTAACAAAAGGAGGGATGCAAAAAAAAAAAAAAGGCTGGTCAAAGCATTCGGTGCAGATGTGTGTCACAAAATTAGGATGCTGGAAAATTAGGATTTGCCTGTAGGGCTGGTAGCACTGCCTCTCCTCTCCTCGTGGAGCGGTCCTTTTGTGTTTGCTTACAGCTTGGCTGAGTTAGAGCTGTTCGTGCTAAGAGTTTTATCTGCTGAGTGGGTGCCAAAATGTGTTGGCCTGTTTGGAGAACAGAGCTTGAGAAAGAAGACAATTTGAGTAGTTTTTTTTTGTTTGTTTGTTTTTAATGTGACTCTTTTTTAGATGCAGTGCTTCGGAGTTGAGATTTTTTTGCCACACACTTGCTAGATTGTTCACCTTTGGAAAATGACCATTTGTGCTTGCATTTCCAAGACTTTCTGACCTCGAGATTTTCACAGAGTCTCTGGCAGAACAAAATGTTTTCTTCGACAGCAAAACAATTTTCATCTTTGCATTGTGGCACAAAAAAAGCGTTTTGGGTGGGAGGCCATTTTTCAGGCCTGCCCAGCCCTTTTGATGGGAAGATCATCATCTTGTGAGCCCGAGGGGGTTGGAAGAGATGCAAACCTCATTTAAGGGAGGTGAGTGTGGCGGTGGGGATGGGGTTGCACACCAGGAACCTAGGGCGTGATGCTGGACAAGTCATATCAGCCATGGCCAGGGCAGCTGACTGCATCTGCCTCCGCCTGAAGCTGGTCTGAGGCCCCTGGGGTGGGTGGAAGACACATCGAGCTCTTGAAGGTGCAGCCTGGAGTCCAGGGCTGCTGCTCTTCAAATGTGTACCATTTTTATGTTGTGGGAGCTTGAGGCTTTGTCTACCGTTTGTTCTTTTGCTGTAAAACTGTGAATCAGAGAGATGCTGGGAGTTTTCAAGAAGTTTTCTGAGGTGCCAGGTGATAGTGGTCCCCAAGGAGGATGTGTGACTGTCCATCAGCCAGCTGAGTGGTGTGCAGTGACCAAGACCTGTGCTGTACTTGGTTGCATTCAGCTCGCTCAAGGACCTACCAGTCCTTGATGGGCCTAATAGTCCTTTATTCCTGCCATGAACGCATCTGATGACTTTTTTCCAGCCAACATACGTACTGATGGTCTGGATTTGTCGAACTAATGTCTTGAGCTCTCAGGAGAAATGAGCTTGATGAAGTGACGTGTTGCTCTGCCACATTGACTCACAGTGCTTGCTCAGTGAGCCAGTGACCAGTGTCAGTTCGGAACAGCAGAGCTCCTATTTTTGATCGTGTGTCTTGTAGCAGAATGTTAGCTCAGCTGCTGATCTCCTGAGGCTGTATTGCTGGTTATGCTTTGCGTGGTATTTGATGCAGGAATCCTAGCTGCCCGTCTGGCTTGTTTTTAGGGATAGGGGTGGCTGCCTTGCCATGGTAAGAGGTAGGATGTACGCAGTGGCTTTACTGTAAAAAGCCATGACCTGTTAAATAAATTCCTGAATCTCGTATTTGGGAGGGAAAAAAATATAATAATTCTCTGGAAATTTTTATATACCAAATTTAATGTGTAATCTAAATACGTACGATTGTTGTACTTTCCTTGAGGGACTGCTGTCCCGTTTCCCATTTCCATGATTTGCCACTTTCCTGTGGAAGCTGCCACGGAAGCTTGTCCATTCATGCTCTCTGTCACTTTCCTTGGCCAGGCACCGCTGCTCAGTGCTGCTGGGGCATCGTTTCCCCACTGATGCCATCAGGGCACATGGAGCAGCCCAGCTGGCTGCCCCCTCCGCACCTTCACAGCTCGTCACCTACTTGCTGGCTGCATAATTCCATTCTCCACAGTTTTCTCAGCCATTGAATGGACAGCCTTGATGGATCTTTGTGGGCGTCCAGTCCAAAAACTACAGTGAGAATGTGATTTGGGTTCCCTTGATGTGCTGGAGAACCACGTTTTGTGTTGTCTGTGATCCCACAGGACTGTCCCTGTCTTGGCATTGCACAAAGCAGCCTTGTAACACACCTGGGCATGAAGGCAAAGCACTTCTCATTCTGCAATGTAAAACCTAGTATTTGCAAAGTCAGTGTGAGCCAAACGGTTGAAATGAGTTCATTTAGGGGAGGTAATTTAGCAGAACTGCTCTGAATACTAACAAAAAAAAAAAAAGGGGGTGGTGGAGTGGGGGGAGGAAGGAACTATAGGAGGATTTCTTGTTGTTACTTTTGTCAGCAGCAGACAAGATGCTTCTGTTGTCGAATATTTGCTTCCTGTCCGGATGTCCCTTGTAATTTTTGGAAAGGAGACAGGAATTTTTTTATCACATTTGTCCTGGTAATATAGGAGCACAGGACGATTCAGTAATTTTTCTGGGTTGAGGAAATTAGAGTAGTGACATCATCTGTCGAGAAATAAAAAATAAAAATAAAAAAATAAAAAAAAGGAAAGTAAACCCCTGATTTGGGTGACTTCAGAAAGATGACTTTTAATGCCCAACCTGCTGCTTTCCAGTCAGAATGTCTTGAAATCAGTATTTGATTTGCAAGGTGACAGGAACGTGAGCCTTACTTTTTCCCCCCGGGGTTGTATAAAACTTGATTGTGGCAACCCCAAACACTTACATTTATACCAAATGAAAACTATTTTAGCAGCACTCAAAATCAGGGT